CTGCTGCTGCTGCTGCACTGCTGCTGCTGCTGTTGCTGCTGCTGCTGCTGCTGCTGCTGCTGCAGCGTTGTCTTTTTCCCACTGGATTCTTCTTAGGAACGGGAGAAGCAACAGCATCTGCTGCTGCTGCTGCTGCTGCTGCTGCTTCTCCGCTGTCTGCTGCTGCTGCTGCTGCTGCTGCTGCAGTATCATCGTCTTCTATAACAGGCGTAGCAAGGGCAGCAGCAGCAGCAGCAGCAGCAGCTTCTGCTGCTGCTGCTGCTTCCTCTTCATGCTTACACGGGTACCTGCATCACCGCATCACCTCTAAACCCTAAACCCTAATAAACCCTAAACCCTAAACCCTTAAAAAATAGCTGGAGGAGAACATGGCGGCCCCCAGTATAGAAAAGCAAAGGGTTTAGGGTTTAGGGTTTAGGGTTTAGGGTTTAGGGTTTAGGGTTTACCTGGGGTAGCGTTTTGCTGCTGCTGCTGCTCCTTCTGCCCCCGGGAGGCTGCGAAGCTCTTTCATGATGCAGGGCGTAACCACTAAAACCACAAACCCTAAACCCTAAACCCTAAACCCTAAACCCTAAACCCTAGATTTTCTAAACTCTAGACCCTTGACGGCGAATGGTTTTGTTCTAAACTGGAGTTAAAAGGGTTTAGGGTTTAGGGTTTAGGGATGGGGGTTTAGGGGTCAGGAATAGAAGACTGGGGTTTTCTAGGGTTTAGGGTTTAGGGTTTAGGGTTTAGGGTTGAGGGTTTACACATTCGGGTTTTGCCGCAGAGAACCCGCGGCAGCAGCTCTGCTGCATTTACTTTGTGGTGGATACAAGCAGCAACAAAGGTCCCATCAACTGCACAAACCACAAACCCTAAACCCTAAACCCTAAACCCTAAACCCTAAACCCTAAACCCTAAACCCTAAACCCTAAAAACCCTAAACCCTAAAACCTAAACCCTAAACCCTATACCTAAAACCCTAAACCCTAAACCCTAAACCCTAAAAGATCGGAAGAGCACACGTCTGAACTCCAGTCACCGATGTATCTCGTATGCCGTCTTCTGCTTGAAAAAAGCCCTAAACCCTAAACCCTAAACCCTAAACCCTAAACCCTAAACCCTAAACCCTAAACCCTAAACCCTACCCTAGACCCTAAAACCTAAACCCTAAACCCTAAACCCTAAACCCTAAACCCTAAACCCTAAACCCAGGGGGCAAAAGTAAGAGTTTCAAAAAAAGCAAAAATAAAATAAAAAAATGAAAGTGAGCGGGATTTCATATCATCTAGGGTTTAGGGTTTATTAGGGTTTAGGGTTTATGAGGGTTTAGGGTTTATTAGGGTTTAGGGTTTATTAGGGTTTAGGGTTTAGGGTTTAGTACCGATGAGCTGATAGGGCTCCTTGATGCCGTAGTGGGTTGCATAAAACCGCATTATCTTTTTGAAGGTTTTTCTTCGGCTCACCCTCATCTTCCTAAACCCTAAACCCTAAACCCTAAACCCTAAACCCTAAACCCTAAACCCTA